TCTCTGGTTTGTTCCGTCAGGTGGAAACAACCTTTCTGTTCATGCTCGCTCTTCTCCCCCAGACTCTGTGGTTCTCCGTCCTGCCTGACTTGAGCCTGGATCTCCAAGGGGGACCCCCGCTAGAGTCCCAGCCCCACCCAGATCCTCACACACCGCAGGTATCTCGCAGGCCAGGGGCGGAAACGAGGGAACAGAGCTTGTGGGTCTGGTGAAAGGAGAGACTGGAAACTGCAGGGGGTGGGGGTGGGGTCAGGGGTGCAGCCATGAGGCAGTGGCAGTATCCCTCGTGCCTGCAGGTGGACCCTGCCTCCCACTTGACCTTTAACCTCCACCTGTCCAAGAGAGAGCGAGAAGCCAAGGATAGCCTGACACTGCCTTTCCAGTTCAGCTCCGAAAAGTAAGGTTGGGGGCCAGGCGCCTGGGTTCCTGAGTAGAGCCCCGCGTCCGGGCCTGAGAGGTGGGGTGATGGCAGGTTATTGATTAACCTCAGACTTTACAGGGGCTGAAGTCCACCTCCAAAGACAAGTCTGGGGAGTGGTTCTCTACCCGCTCCTGCCCCAACGAGGCTAAAGGGCCTCTATGTCTCCTTTCTCGCCATTAGAGCCTTAGGTCACAGAGCAATCGGGTCTGGGCTGAGCCGGACCAGACCCTGGGGAAGTGGCCCTGCCCCTCTCTAGGCAGGGAGGACGGACGGGAAGCCGGTTGGGTGTGGTAGAGACAGGTTCATAATGGCCTCTGTATGCCTGTCGTTCTGTGCTCAGTGTGTGGGCGGGCGAAGCCACACCGTGGCAGGATCCGTGCCCTCGAGCTGCCAAGAACGTAGGGGATCGTTAGGAGAGCGGCATCAGTCTATCCCGGTGCCGGATGCGGCTCCCACGCTGACTAAACGAGGAGGTCAGAGAAAGGGACTTGAACCCAGAAAACACGAAAGCCAACGAGAAAGAGGAGGGAGTCAGTCACCAGGAAGCGTGTCCAGACAGGACCCCGTTACCCACCCTCACCAGCACCCGCTCCCCCCTCCTCTCCCCAGACAGCAGGCTCTGCTGCGCCCTGGGCCCGGCCCTGCTACCAGCCGCATCTTCTATGAGCCAGACGCGTTCGATGACCTGGACCCAGAAGACCCAGATGGTGACCTGGATGTTTGACGGGGAGCCTTGACTAGCCTGTACTGGGGAGGGGGGAGAGAGACCTTGGACGCGTAACCATCCTTTCGTTGTTTGCGGCGGCCTTACCCTGCCCCACCTGTGTTCCCTGTGTGCGGAGGTCCTGCCTCGTGACCCCCGAGTCAGGGAGTAGCTTCCAGGCGGGACAAGACATGGGAAGGGGCAGAGGGGAAGGTGAGGGAACAGAGACGCCTCCCTTCCCAGCCTAATAAAATCTCTTTTTTTACGAAAAAAGAAACTTTGCTAGCTGTGTAAGCGGGAGTTGGCAGTGGGAGGGACTGCGTGGGAAGAGGCAGGGAAGCCAGGCACCTGAGTCTTGGAGAGTCACTAGCATTGGGGCCCAAGTGACAACGGTGCCACAGGGAGGGCCTTGCACACCGATAGCGCTCAGGGTGTGTTGTTTTAAACTGAAGCAGACACACTTAAAGGTTCCGGGTTCCCTGCAAGGATCTGGGTTGAAAGAAAGCAGAGACCCTGAAGGGGGAGGGAAAAAAAGCCTCCTTTCCAAAACATACGGTTTTATTCCTGTACAAAAAGCACACCCTCCTCTTTTTGCGTCCCTCACCCAACCCCCTCGGGGGAACTGTCCAAGGTGCGCGAGCGGGGTGGCGGGGCTTGTCTGTCTCCGCACCCCGCCCACAGGCCGAGCTCTGCCCCAGGCCGGTTCAGGCCCCCCCGGGCACACCATAGGCTGCCAGGCCGGGCCAGGGGGCCCCCGGCTCACACATACTCCTTGGCAGAGTTGGGCTTGGGGTAGGAGCGGGGTGCACGGTACCCAGCTTTGCTGTCACTCCCGGGACAGGAGCAAGAGAGCAGGGCGCCTCCCAGGATGACCAGAGCCGACCCCGCCCAGCCAATGAAGATGGCAGGACCGAACTCGTACCTATGGAGAGAGGGGGTTCGGGTCAGAAACGCTGCCTTTCCTGGAGGGGGATCCGGAACTGTCGCCCCTTTAGGAGGCCGGGCTCCCATACTTACTTCAGATTCATGGGGACCAATGGGTTATAAAAGTCTGTGACAATCTGGTGGCCATACCAGGAACAAGCTACCAAGGCAGCAAGACCTGGGGGGGAGAGAGAGCGGCATGTCAGGAGGCCCCGGGCCGGCACCTTGCACGCCTCCACGCTGCGACCGGAGAAGAGAGGCGCTGGGCCCTCCTTGGCCTGCTGCTCACCTGCCACGATGAAAACGATGCCTCCGGTCATGGCTATCCGGGCCTTCTTCACTTTGTCGTCTCCCCCGCAGCTTGTACACTTCATGCCCATCGTGGCCACGAACATGGCCAGGAAGCCCAGCACCAGGGACACCACCATGAGGGCTCGGGTGGCCTGTATGGCCGCTGCGGGGAAGGGGGAAGGACGCCCTCATTCCTGGAAACGCGGGTCGCTGGGCTGGGGCCCCTTGGGCGTCCAAGCCCCGAGCAGCGCCGGGTGGATCCCGCCCTCTCCCGGCTCCGCGGCCTTGCCGCTCCGCCCCGCCCTCCTTCTGCCCTAGGACCCGCCCGGGGCGCGAGGGTTTCGGCGAAACCGCCCCGGCTGGGGAGGGGAGCAAGAGGAAGGGCCAGGAGGGGCGGCGACGGCGTGCATGGGCCGCAGATGGGCCCCGCGCAGGCCTGAATCTCAGCCCGCGGCCCTGACCCCCACTATCGCGGCCACCGGCTCTGTGGCTTCGGCTAATCGGCCGATAAGATTACAGGCCGCAGGCGGCGGCCCTCGTCTGACGGCGCGCAAGGCTCCTCCGCGGACGCAGCGCCCTCCGCCCCGCGCCGCCTTTTGTCCGAGACAAAGGGCGGGAGACGGAGGCCGCCAGCCGCGGGCGGCGGGGTAGGAAGAGGCCTAGAGGGGCTGGTTGCCGCCGGGCGCCGAGACCCGGGAGGCTCGGCTGTGTGGGAGGTGGGGGGGGGGGGGGAGGGTGGGGCAGCCTCCCACCAACCGACGATGCAACCACCCGCCCCGGCCCGGTCCGGCCAGCTCACGCGTCCATCTGAACCTGGCATGCGGCCCCGGCTCAAGCAGTCGGGCCTCGCGCACCCGCCGCCCGGCGCCCTCGTTCCCCGGGCGCGTCCGCCCCGTCGGCCCCGCGGCCTTACCCGGCAGGGCAGGCACCGAGTCGTACATCTTGCAGCTCATCGGTGCTCTGCGTGACGCAGTCCATCCACAGCCCCTTGTACATGGCCTGGGCCGTGATGATGTTGTCGCCGCGTGGTCAAGCTCATCTGCCACTGCGGGATGGTGGCCGCCCAGGCCCACCAGCCCAGCAGGGCCAGGCAAAACCCAGCTGCAGCAGGCCCGAATTGGCCATCTTCAGTCCTCGGAAGAGCCTGGGGACGCCAGACGGCGACCCTGCAGTAAAGCAAACCACCGGGGCGGGGGGGGCAGCCCACAGAAAGAGACGAGTCACCAGAGAAGCTTTGGGGTCAAGTGACTGCAGATCTTTTGTCACTCGAGAAAACACCAAAAACAAAAACCACACACACACACACACACAAATCGATCCTTCAGGCGGGCAAGGGTCTCACGGAAGGATCAGGCCACGCCCGGGGACTGGTGGTCGAAAGCGATCCCGCTAAGGCCAGCGTCCTCCGGCGTTCTCCGCGACCACCCAGACGAGCGGAGGGGCGGTGTGCTGGCGCGCGGTCTGGTACTGAAGCCCCAAAGTGCCTGGGCTGTCGGCCTGAGGCTGCAGTGCCGCTGCCCGGTGGCTCGGCGGGCGGGATGGTGCGGGCAGACCTGAGTGCGGCACCTGGTAAACGTCGGGGGCGCGAATCACCGGGAGCGCGGGGGGGGGGGAAGGCGGGACCGGAGGCGGGAGGGTGACCTGACGTCACCGGGACACTGCCTCCTGAGCCGGAAGTCCTGGCCCCACCCTGCCCAGGTGAAGGGAAGAAACCTGAGCCCCAGGGTCACGCCCTTCTCTTACCCGGGCTTGGATTGCGGGTAGGGAGGCGGCTTCTCCGGGTTCAGCTTGAGTCAGCCCTCCAGACTGGACTTCCCTGGGCAGCGGGATGCCCGTCTCCTCTCCCCGGCAGGTGCACCTGGGACACTGCCCAGGCAGCGGGGGGGGGGGGGGGGGGGGGCACCCTGGGCCTCGGTTCCCTCCCCCCCCGCTGGGACTCTTGGTTTCTACTCTAGGCTCTTTGTCCTGCCCTACTTTCGTCCCCACCCCTCTGCTCTTCCTTTTCTTCATTCGGCTCTCCTAAGCGTCCCCACCTTGGGGAACCCTAGCGCCAGTCCCTCAGAACTGCCCCCCTTCAGCAGCCTCCTTGGAGTCTGCATTCCCAGAACCACCGGCCTAGCAGCACCCCGACGCCCCGTGCCCCCTGGCCGCCACCCTCCTGTCCCGCCCTCCAGCTGACACCTGGCTCCCAGGCCCCGGCCTCCAGCCCCGTCTTCTTGGCTGTCCATTCCAATCCCTATCCCTGACCTGCCTGGACCCTTGGCACCCCACCTCTAGGGGGTCACTATCCCCCACCTGCGACGAGGATCCTTCCTGAAGGAAAGCGGGTGGGAGGTCAGCAGAGGGTGGGGAGCGGGGTCAGGCCTAGGTGACATTCTTGGCCACACCTGTCGCTCCCTTCCCTTGGAGACTTTCCAAACCTGGTCTCCACTTTCTCCTTCCCTCCCGTCTTACACACATTTCCCTTTCCTTCTTTCTGAGCCTGGACCTGACTCTGTGCACCCTCTCCGCGTCATGCAGGGCTTCCTCCCTCAGGAGTCTACCTCCCAGCCCCTTCCCTGCCCCCGCGCACCGCGGCGCCACTCTGCTGCCTCCTTGCCCGGAGTCCTCCCCACCCATCTCTCCGCTCCCAGACCCACATGTTTCCAGCCCCCTCTCCATGTCTATTTTTTCCCTCCACTCTCCCACATTTCCCATTTTTCTTCCTCCTCTCAAACATTTCTCTGTAAGGCTCTCCTTTTTTGATTCATGGTGAGGTGTTTTTTTTTTTTTTAACCTATCTTTTTTTCTTATAATTTATTTTGAGAGAGAGAGAGAGAGAGAGAGAATCCCAAGCAGGCTCCACACTGTCAGCCCAGAGCCCGATGTGGCCCGAACCCACAAGAGTGAGATCGTGACTTAAGCCAAAATCAGGAGTCAGAAGCCCAACCAACTGAGCCACCCAGGTGCCCCGAGTTGGTTTTTTTTGTTTGTTTTTTTTTTAAGGTGCTTTCCAGCTCCAAAATGTTATGTTTCTCATTACGGAAGTATATCCAGCTTGTGTGCAAGCTCACTGCCACACCTCAGTCGGACCCGCCACGTCTGCCTCTTGCCTGCCCACCCCAGCTGCCTCCAAACCGACAGCCCCGTTTCCCCGCTTGTCCTTTTGAAATCTATTCTCCGGAAGTGAACTGGTTTGTTTGTTTCAGACTTGGGTCCCGTTACTTTCTGTTTAAAATCCTTAAAGCAGGGGGCACCTGGGTGGCTCAGTTGGTTAAGTGTCTGATTTTGGCTCAGGGCCTGATCTCACGGTTCGTGAGCTCGAGCCCCGTGTCGGGCTCTGAGCTGACGGCGCGGAGCCTGATCCTGTCTCTCTCGGCCCCTCCCCTATTCGTTCCCGGGCGCCCGTGCATGTGCTCGCACGCGCGCTCTCTCTGTCTCTCGCTCTCTCTCTCTCAATAAATACACTTAAAAAAATAAAAATGAAACAAAATCCTTAAAAGCCTCCAAAGTCTCTCCTCGCTCCAGTGTTGCTACACTGGGCTTGGCAAAATAAATGCCGCGTGTGGCTCGCCGGACTGCGCCTCGGCCACACGAGCCCTCTCTCTGCTCCCGATGTGTATCTCTTTTACTACTTTCCTTCACACACTCTGTTCTCTACGCCTGGATGCTCTTGTCCCTGTCCCCTCCCCTCCTTCCTCTACCCTGCTGACCGACGCATCCGACTCATCCTTCAGCAATCAGCTGGAGCCTCGCTTCTCCTGGGAAGCCCCACCTGACCACCCCGCCCGAGACTGAGTCATATCCCTCGGTGGATGTGCTCACTCACCGCTACTTGGTGCTTTAACTGCACGACTTCTTATCACAGAAACTATTTACTCGTGTGCCTATTTACTCAGTGTCAGTCTTCCCCTGTCGATGCCTCCGGGTTTATCGCCAATAAATATTTGATGAATGAATGAAAAAATAAACTACAAATTAACGATGTTTTCATCCACTGGTTCAACAAATGTTTCCCGAGGGCCCGTATAAATGGCTCCAGACGTTGCTCCGGACGTACAGCTGGAACGACCCAGATGAGGACACTGCCCTCCTCGGGTCACTCGGATGCTAGAGGGAGGAAGCAGACAGTAAAGGCATAAACAAGATGCCACATGTTTTCAAGGCAATAAAACAGGGCAATGTGATGAGGTTGGGTCCACCGGAGGGAGACCTTTCTAGGAAGTGACTAGCAAGGAACCAGCCAAGAGAAAACCATGTTGGGTGAAGAAAGTGGAAAGGGCCGAGCGACCCTGTGTGGGTTGCCCCTTTGCGATTTTGTAGTATTCATTTCTTTTTTTTTAATTGTCTTTAACGTTTAATTATTTTTCGGAGAGACGGAGTTGGGCGGAGAGAGAGGGAGACAGAGAATCCAAAACAGGATGAAGGCTCTGAGCTGTCGGCCCAGAGCCCGACGTGGGGCTCGACCCCACAAACCGTGAGATCGTGACCTGAGCCCAAATCAGGCACTTAACCAACTGAGCCACCCACGTGCTCCTATGGTACTAATTTTAAAGCAGGAGCTCTCAACCTCAGCACCATTGACATTTGGGGCCAGATAGCTCTTTGTTGCAGGTGACTGTCCCGTTCATTATAGGATATTTAGCATAACATCTTTGACTTCTATTGATTAGATGCCAGGAGAGCCCTCCGCTGAGCCCCAAGGTGACAATCCAAAATGGCTCCAGACGTTGCCGGATGTCGGGGTGACGAGAGGGGCAAAATGGGTCCCGGCGAAGAGCCACCGATTTAAAGCGTGGCCAGGCAGCATCACTGTGGCTGCTTTGCTCTGGTAGCCTCCAGTAAACAGTTGGGTACAAGGAGCGAGTAGACGGATGATTGCACTTGACCACGGTTGGGATTTTGCTAAGGAGACGAAGGAGTTTGAGGTGTTTGCACGAGAGCGCTTCAGGTGTTCGAGCCCGGATGTAACTTGGGTCCTAAGAAGAGTAAACGCAAAAGGCTTGGGCGTTAGTGGAAAACCGGGGGGTGGATGGTGTGGAGGTCTCTCCCCACGAAGAGAAGGGAGCGAGATACCTGGGAAAATGAGCTGGCCGACTGGGAGGGGCCTGGGACCGCCGGAAGAGAAAGATAAGGTTCAACACCTACTGATGACAAGAACTTCTAGCAAACAAAGATTAGAAAGGACATTCTTACACCTCGTGAAAAAGTGTCAGGCTCACCTCTTTTATTTTCGGGAAAAGGATAAAGAAAGTCACTGTTACCGCTTTTGTTTGGACCAAGTTCTGGAGGTCTTGATTGCTACTACAAAGAAATAAAAGAAGGAGGTCGTGCAATGATTAAAGGGACAAAATGAAACTGATTTGCAGATGTTATAACTGTATCCTTAGAAAAGCGAATGGAGGGGCGCCCGGGGGGCTCGGCTGGTTGAGCATGCAACTCTTGATTTCCGCTCAGGTCGTGACCTCACGGTCTGTGGGTTCGAGCCCCCGCGTCAGGTTCTGCGCTGACAGCACGTTCTGCTTGGGATTCTGTCTCCCTCTCTCTCCTCCCCTCCTCCCTGCTCCTTATCTCTCTCCCTTAAAAAAAAAAAAAAAAGGGAATAGAATCGAGAGACACTATTAGTAATTAGTTTCAGCAAGGTTGCTGTATGCGAGATGCAGCTACAAAAAACAAAACAAAACAAAACAAATTGCTAGCATTTTACTACACCAGTAATAACCAACTGGAAAATACAATGTAAAATAACATTCGATTTGCATCAAAATTATAAAGCGCCTAGGAATTAACCAAGTATTGACAAGACCTCAGTGGGAGGAAAAAACAGTTTAATTCAAATAAAGCACATAGATAACTTGGAAGAATAGAGAAACAGCCCCTGCGCTTATAAATGCGGTGACTTCACATTATAAAGACATCAGTTGTCTCCAGAATAAATAATTGTATATATTACCAGTAAAATCCAATTAAAAAAATATTCAGAGAGCGCGTGAGCGTGAACGGAGGAGGGGCAGACAGCGAGGAAGATAGCAAGAATCCCAAGCAGGCTCCTCACTGTCAGCACAGAGTCTGATTCAGAGCTCGAACTCTCAAACGGGGAACTGATGACCTGAGCCGAAACCAAGAATCGGACACTTAGCCGACTG